GGGTCCCACGATTTTATAAAGACTAATCTAGTTGGGTCCATAAAAAAAAAAAAAAAAATTCGCTTCTCATTTTTAGAGATCTAGGACTGTCAGTTACCTATAAATTAGAACACAGGTATTATTTTTTTATTAAGTTTCTAATATATGGTATATAATTATTAATTGAAAATTAGAATACTGGTATATGGTAAATAAATAAATTAAATGATAGAAAAAATTAAAAATGTCCACAATTGGTAAACATTTAAATGATAGAGCTTTTACAAACTCAGATCTATTAATTTTTTAATATTATCAAGTTTAAAAATACTTAAAGCTACAGATTTTATTGTCGTAGTGGTTGGACTAAATTAGTATTTTATGATTTTTATAGTCGGACCGAACTCATATATTATTGTTTTTATAATCAGATCCAATTAATTGTTTATCTTGTTTATCATAAATATTATCTGGGACCCTACTCGGATACGCCCATCAAATTACCGATCTTCTCAGTAGTGGTTGTCCAGTACTTAACAAACCTATTATGATCGATTATATATTTATGATAATATCAACAATTGAACTTTTATAGTAATAATAATTAATTAATTTTCCGACAGTAAGATTTATAAAATGCAAAATATATTATATTTATATAATTTGGTTGTATTACCTCCAAAGCCAAAGGCTCTGCTGAAGGCTAGAGTTCATGTGAGTACAATCATATAAGCTAAGAACATAACATAATAATATATAATTATTTAATATGATGCTATGAAATAATGAAAAATGTATAAAAGTTGATAATTAGATTTAAATCTATATTACAAAATTTGTAATTTTTTTTAAATATTTTTTCTATTTGGATATAAAAAAAAAATCCCATTATGCCTTAGTGATCGTTGTGTTCATCTTATTCGCTTTTACTTTTCCGTCATAAAGATAGTTAAATTTTCTCTGAATATGAAAAAAATAATGATTTATAAATAATTAAAAATACACTGTATTATGCGTACTTGCCTATTTATTAGTTGTTTTTTTAACTTATTTTCGGCGTAACACAGGTAGTCTGTGAACTTAGATTAAGTACCTATTACCAACATGATACAAAATAATAATGTTTATTATGTCTGTCATTTTTTAGTGTAATTCACTATACTTATTTTAACTTTCATCAATTTTTATTAAAGTATAAACATGTAGAATAACCGTAGAATCAAGTTATTTTGTGTGTAAATATTAGGGGATTTATCTATAACACATTTTAACGATACCTAATCCAGCGTCAGTGGTAAATTATACGCGTCCAGTGTTTTTTTTTCGTGAAACCAAAAAATATTTTTTAAAAATAATATTTTACGCCTTACATATTTTTCTATTTTACGTAACTTATGTCTAAACATTTTACTTTGACATGGATATTGTATTTTGTCATCAAAACGTCAACAATATAATATTGTTTATTAATTTATTGTTATTATATTATTATTATTTAAGCAGTAGCGGTTTTTTTATTTTTTCTGGGGGGTCCTTTTACATTATCTTGTAATATATGAAGACAAAAAAATGTTTAATCTATTAATAATTTATTACTTAAAGTCTTAAAATATAATTCTTACGCTAACAAAAAAAAACATAAACATTTTAGTTAAAAGACTAAATATATAAAATATAAAATATAATATATCACAACCTAAATGCGTGACCGGGGGGGGTCCAGACTCCCTGAACTCCCCTTCCGATAAAACCACCAGTGACTATAGGTACTTAAAAAACTATAGATAATAAATTCATTTATTATCTATGTATAAAACGTAATATCGAAGTCAAAGATTAAAATACCATATAAATTTTCATATGATAGGGGGCACTTGTTATTCAATTTTAAAAATGCAATTTAGGCTTACAAATTATTAAATCCTATGAAGGGCGCGGAGCCCCTAAAATAATAGGGACCTAGACAGTTGTTCCTTCTGTTGACGCTGTTCTAAATGCTCGATATATGCTATACCTATTGCTATACCTACCCCTGCGGTCTTGTGCCATTAGCCTTATCATTTATAAACTATTTGTATCACTGACTTAGGATATCTTAGTAGTATCTATACTATCTATATTTAATGATATTATTGGTACTATACTGTTTTTTTTTTTTTGCAACATCGATTTAATTATTTGTTTTGAAAAAAAACTGATGGTGACCTATTCTCAATATCAGTTCTTAGAATCAACTTACCTACTCCTAATAAAAATATCTCTTGTACATAAAAGTTTTGAAAACATTTGTAGGTCATCTTATCCCATTAAATATTCCAATTATTTTCTTAAAAATTTACAATTGATTCTATGATTGATTTGTAAATTGTCTTATATAGTTGTAGTATGTTACGTAATTTAACTATATACATAAGCAGAGTAGTTAATTTACAACTGTGTTCCTTGAAAATATTTTTAAAATAATTTCGGGTGTTGCATAATTTTAAAAATAATTTGTATGTATACTTGTAGCTTTAACATATTACCAAATATGCACTTAAACAATTAAAATATATAATTAATATGTGAATTTTAAAGCTTAATTTTAAATGAAAACAATAACTTTAATTACTTCATTCATTTATTTTAATTAATGATACAAATATAAGCATTTAATTATAATTGTAATGTTAATACTTTTTCCAGTTCTAAAAATTAAATGATTTTACTAAAAAAAATCCTTCCTAGAAAAAAGTGTGTTCATGAACAATAAAAATAATGCAACGACAACTATCATCATATTATTTTACTATTATTAAAACTTTAAATTAAAAAAAAAAAAAGTTATATGGAAATGCTTCTTGTGATTTTGTTTTCTTTGATAAAATAAAAAATATTCATAAAATTATCATTTAATGTTTCTTTTAACAAAAAAATATTAATAGAAACAAACATGCTTAGAACAAAAATGTTTTGATATGGATCTTATCTTCCTTTTTATACTTTCAATTTCAATGTAGTGTTCCATTTGAGTATGTTTAAGTATTTTTCACTTTAATATAACTTCAATAGTCTTCAGCATTTGTTTTGTCAGCCTCTTGTGACTCATGATATTCATATTATGTTTATATGTTTATATCTATTTTTTATATTCTTTTTACAGTAAAACCTCGATAAGACGACATTGCTTAGGACCATAATATTTTTCCGTATTTGCGGGGTTTCTGTCTTGACGGGGTTAGTTAATTGTATGTAATTTGAAATGGGGCTAAAAAAATGTTCCGTTACACCGAAGTTCCGTCTTATCGAGGTTTTACTGTAATATTTAATTATCAATTTATAAAAATTGCTTATGAACAGTGCTGTAAAAATGAGTGTGCATTGCATACAGCCCCTGGGTCTCAAGATTTTGATTTGCATATAGGCCTTGAATAGTTTATTTATAGCATTGATTATGAATATAAATAATAATATGTATTATATAGTTCAAAATATACAAATGAACTTTCATTTTTATTTAATAATTTTGAAACTTGTATAAATGAATCATGTGTTCATTTTCAATATAAATTGAAACATAAAACATATAATAACAATAAAATTGATGTATATTCTTATATGTTATAATTTGTTTTACTTCAGGTAACATAAGTTTTTAATTCATTATTTAATTAACTCGGATATTTCTATCGCAACTTTTTTATGCTTAAGTTCTAAAAAAAGTATATGAAAAAACCAATAAATATTAGGAGTATAATGTAATGATTTAAATTATGATGTAATTATTTATTTTATAATTTTTATCTATACTGTTTAGTAATAATAATTTATTATTGTTTGAACTATTTTTCATTTATTATTTTGCATTAAATATTTATGTTACTAATATAAGTTTTTCCATTAAATATAAAATTTAAGTAAGTTCATTAATAGTTCTGAAATGATAAATTTTAAGAACTTTTTAAAACTAAGATTTTTTGTAATGATTGTGCTGACCTTTCGGAACAATTGCAGGTTCCATTTTCAAAGTGTATTTAAGTGACACCACAAATCTGTTAAGATATACACTCTGAAAATGGAACCTACAATGGATCCAAAATGTTAGTACATCACTTAAAACATAGGTGCAGTAAAACCTCGATAAGACGAAATCGCTTGGGACCATGATATTTTTCCGTGTTAACGGGGTTTCTGCCTTGACGGGGTTAGTTAATTGTATGTAAATTTAAATGGGACCAAAATAATGTTCCGTTATACCGAGGTTTCCGTTTAGTCGAAGTTCCGTCTTATCGAGTTTTACTGTAAATAAAATATTCTTGTTGTATTGTCTATTAACACTTAACAATGATTTTAAAAAATACATGAACAAATTATTGTTAAAACACAATTAGTATTAATGTTTTGTATTTTTTGATTTTTAAATATTATTAAATACAATTAGGTTTGGTTATGGTTTTACAATTAATTAACTTCATAATTTTTAATTATTATCTGTAAATTGTTAGGTAAAAGGTAATCTTACGTTATTGTCAACAGGTATATGGATTGTGTTTTGTTTAACAAAATTTGAAAATCCCTTCACTAAATTATAACTATGATATTTCATAGTTGTCATTGTTATATTATTACAGTTTAAAGTTGTCAGTTTATATGTTATATTTATTATTTGATGCAGCGTTTCCCAAAATTTTTTTCTGCCAGACCTCTTAGACATAATAAAAATTAAAAAAACAATAATAAATTATAATACTTTGTTATTTTAAATTCATATTCGCGGACCCCCTCCGCTATACGTGCCGACCCTTAAGGGTCCGCGGACAACAGTTTGAGAAATGCTAATTTAGTATATAAAAGTGTATTCGCCTAAAAAAAAAAAAATAGTTATATAAATTTATATTTTAAATTTTCACCCTCCATTTATGGCAATTAAAAAATGAGTGTGTAGTAATATTCTAATGCCCTTTGATTATATATCTCCTTATACTTGCTTCTATACTTAATTGAGAGTAATAATTAATCAATTATCTTAATTTATTATATAGGAAATTGCAGCTTTAAGAAAAGAACTGAGTCTGACAAGAGATCAATTAGCTGCTAGAGATGAAGAAATAGCTGAACTAAAAGCAGAAAGAAGCAATACAAGAGTATATATTTTTATATTTTATATTTTATATTACTATTTTTTAATTTTGCTTATTTTAGTTACTACTTGAACATTTGGAAAGTTTAGTATCTAGACATGAAAGGTCAATTCGATCCACTGTCATAAAAAGACAAACAAACCAAAATCCACAAGCATATTCAGGCGTTTCTAGTGAAGTAGAAGTTTTAAAAGCACTAAAAAGTCTTTTTGAACATCATAAAGCTCTTGATGAAAAAGTATGTAAATTAGTATGAATTAACAAAAACAATTATTTCAAAAATATATAAACTATTAATAATAAAATTTAATAAATATAAATAAAATGTTTTTATTTTTATTATACTAACTAATAGACATTTTTTAGTATTTTAGAAAAATAATTAAGTTTTGAACTACCATATAGTTTTTATTTTTTTGTAAAAATATATATTTTAAAAGTTTTAAATATAAATCAAGGTGTATTATATGAAATTAATGTTTTCTTTCAGTACAGTATTATAGAAATTAATAAATATAATATGTTCATTAAATGTTAATATTTTACGGTAAATAAAATTTTTATGAATTTTTTAATTTTTTTCCGGACAGGTAAGAGATAGATTAAGATATGCTCTAGAAGCCAATGCTAAACTTGAAGAGAAATTGGAAAGCACTATGCAAGAGGTAATTAATATTTTTTAAATATACGTTTATTTTTTTTAAATTTGTTATATTTTGTAGCTTGATGTTTTAAAATCTGGTGGTAAAACAGACGATGAATCTGTTCAAGAAAATGGAAGTACTGATAATGTAGATGGATCTTCCTCTCAACAGCCAATTATGAAAGTAATTTTAATTTTATTTTTAAATAATATATAGCAGATTAAATCATTATTTTTTGTATTGTAGCAATATGTAGATATGCACTAAAATACTGAAAATATTGTTTAAATTGTTGCATAGTAACTGAATTTATTAGATAATAAATTATTTAATTTTAAATAAAATACTATTTAATAGAAGTAGTTTAGATTTTTATATAGAATATCAATACAATATTAAAAATGTTGGACACCATTATTTTTTCAGCTAAGCTAAAGCTATATATAAGAATTTTAAAATTATTAACTTTAAAAACTATAATACAGTAAAACCTCGGTATAATGGAACATTATTTTGGTCCCGTTTCAAATTACATACATAAGCAATTTTTATAAATTGATAATTAAATATTACAGTAAAACCTCGATAAGACGGAACTTCGGTATAACGGAACATTTTTTTAGCCCCATTTCAAATTACATACAATTAACTAACCCCATCAAGACGGAAACCCCGCTAACACGGAAAAATATCATGGTCCTAAGCGATTTCGTTTTATCGAGGTTTTACTGTATTAAAAAATAATAAAATTATTGGAATTTTTAATTTCCTTTATATTTTATTCTATATTTGAATTTATATCTCAATTTTCTCAAAAAAAAAAAAAATAAAAAAATATTAATAGTAATAACTATACATTTTTAAGAATTTATTACAGTAAAACCTCGATAAGACAAAATCGCATAGGACCCTGATTTTTTTCCGTGTTAGCGGGGTTTCCGTCTTGACGGGGTTAGTTAATTGTATGTAATTTGAAATGGGGCTAAAAAAACGTTCCGTTATACCAAAGTTCCGTCTTATCGAGGTTTTACTGTAGTTTTATACTTAGTATTTATAATCAATGGTACTATATTGATAAAAATTAATTGCTCCAAAAATGTCTCAATAAATTTGAATTCAATTTTAACTAAAACTATCATTGACGATTTCAATGGGGATAAAATAGTAAGAGTGATTTTATACAGTATATTTAATATTATTGCTATTTATAATTTTTTTTTTTTTTTTTTAATGGTATTTATAGTTTTGGTTTGAGTTCTGAGTGAATATACATTATAATTGCATATAATTATACTACTATTATAATATAAATCCTAAAAGAAATATATAAAAGTGACAATTTTTATTTTTATTTTTGACCATAATTTATTTAATAATACTTAATATGAAAGAAAATATGATGATAATTGTTATTAATATACATAAATTGTCATTTTCATATCATATTTCACTGTAGTAATATTCTTGGAGTATAATAGGGTAATGCTAGCATGAGTATTTTTAAGCGTTTTGTGTAAAGTGATTGATTTGCATGTCAGAATAGAACACTGAATGGTCACATTGATGAAACTACTGAGTATGCACAAGATGAAAAGCTAATCAACACTCATGCTGACAATTGTGTGATTAATAGTATTGGTGATGAGGTTTGTCAAAAAATATAATAACAATCATTGTCTTAAAAAGTAATATAATAAAATATATATTATTTAACATTTTATTTAACTTAGAATTCTGAATATGGTACGTGGAAAATGAACGAATTATCTAGTCGAGTATCTGAATTAGAAGATTCACTTTCAAAAACACAACGAGAACTCCACAAGTCCCAAGAAAATAGTAACAATTTACATCATGAATTAAGAGAAACCATTTCAATTAAAGAAGAACAGGTACGTTGAAGTAATTTCAAATATTTAATTTTTTTTTTTTACCTTATCTCTTAGCCATTTAAAGGATATCAAATTTCCTTTAGCTCAAAAACCCCTAAAGGTACAGTTTCTAAGGTACGACATGTCGCGGCGACTAGTCGTCGCGCCTGACGGCCGCAACCAGTCATCGCGACGCTTTTCGGATAGAGTGGTTTCCAAGACGCGACAAGTTGCAGCGTCACAACTGGTATTCGGTCAGCGTCCGTTTTTAAACTTGTTCAAGTGCGCACGTATTTTTCATATAATATAATATAATACCATATCACTACGAATAGATATATTTTAAATAATAATAATATTCTTCTTACACTATTATAATTAGAAGAAGAAGAACAACAACAACAAATTTTAGTTACTTTATCGCCAAACATTAAAAAACCTACAAATTAATTATTTATATATCGGGATAGAGAATAATTGATGATGATCAAATTTCATATTTTTGAATAATATTTTTATAATTTTGATCTCTAATATTGTAAAGAAGTGTATTATTTTGGACTTCACGAATTAGAATTTCGTCTTCCGATGCCTAGAATATCAGTGTTAATGCCATTATATCTACAAACGTTTCAATAGTCGTTGCGATGTCTCGCGGCGACATGTCGCAAGGTACTGCTCTCGGAGCAGTAGTGTCGTCGATGATGACTCAAAGTTAGGTCGCTGCTACTTGTAGCGTCTTGCAAATCAATGAATAACATTTTCGTATAAAGAGATGTTGACGACTTGTCGCAGTGACAGGTCACCGCGACATAGAAACCGTACCTTAACTACTCTCATTTTTTTATATTATTTATTTTCTAAATTCATGATGCCTCTTACCTATTGTTTCTGCCTCATTTTTTCTTATAACATTCCTAAATCATCTCAATCTACTCTTCAACATTTTTTATTATAAATGGTATTAATTAAATAAGTATGATATATTTTATAGGAAGAACAGATAAGTTCCTTGGAAAAAAAATATCTAAATTTGCAACGTGAATCCACTACATTACATGATTTGAATGATAAATTAGAGCAGGAACTACAGCATAAAGAAGCTCAGTTGAAAGTATGTTTTATGTCTGTACTTTTATATTTTGTTTCAAAGCAGAAAATAATTTTTATTTTATAAATTTCCAGTTACAAGAAGAAAAGACTCGTGCTACTCATGAAAAATTAGAATTATGTGAACAAAAATTAGCACAATTTGCCACACTGCCAGAAATAGAACAAGAACTAAAACAACGTATGGAAGCCCTTACCCAGGTAAGGGCTCAGGTACGAGATTCGTTCAACAGATCAAACTTTTTCTCAATTTTACTTTTTTTTTTTTTCTTACCCACCTGTTGTCGAACTCGTATTATTTTACTAGTTTAGATTTTAGTGTTAGTATATTATTTTAAGTGTTTAATTTTTATCAAGTTTTGAAATGCATTTTTTTCTATTATGCTTTAAGCACGGTTTAAAACTTGCTATTTTTATAATGATACATATTCTTTATTTAATTTCTAACCTATCACATTTGTAAATATAAATTAGATTAAATATATTATAATAATATAATAATAATTATCAATTGATAATCAACAATACCTTCTGTGAATAAAGTAGTAACTCAGTATTTTTATTCTAAATCATTACCACACATTTTTTTTTTTTATTAATAGTAAATCAATAATGTTTTGAATTAACTCTTATGGCCTAATTATAATATTTTAATATAAATAATTATAAATTATAATTACTGTTATTTTCTTAATAAATTATCAACATCTATATTGTAGCTTATTTAAAACATGATATTACAATTAAAAATGGTTGATAACTATTTTGATTTTCATTATTTTTCTAATAAACTACTATTCTGTTTTTAATTAATGGATAATTTAAAAACTATAATTCAAACATTTTTGTATTTTAGTTACAAATATTTCCTCTGATGTTAAATAGTTATATATTTAACTAAAAATAAATGTTTTTTATTTAGTCACAATTATTAAAATATTTATTATTTAATTAAAGTATTCAATATTTTGGTATAAAATAAATTATACCTAATATGTCCAATCAAATTATAAAAATAATCATTTAATTATTTTTCGTGATCAAATTTTAATACTTTTATATCTGTCTGAATAGATAAATAAGAATTACAACCATATAAATTATATTTGATCTTATCAACAAAATATGTTAAATTTTTTTGTACATTACTATAGATTATAGATTAATTTTTAAAATTTCTTTGTTCTTATTACACTTATGATTATAGAAACTTAAAGGTAAAAAATACCATTAATTATTTTATATTTTTTCTTTTAATATTATTTTATATATTTATTTATATTATTAGAAATTGTGTTTTGAATGTTTGAACCATGTTAAGAGAACAGTAACTTAGAACTAAAATAAAATCATAACTCCTTGGACAAATCAACCTAACCTAGATTTTAGATTAAAACTTTAAATACTTTACTGTTTCAGTTCATACTACATGCTTTATAGCATTAGTTTTTACTCAATCTTAATTAAATACATATTTACTTATTGCCATTTATTAATATTTCTTCACAAAGATTGTTTAATAAGATATTTAACAACATATTTTTATTAAAAACTATTTGGCTATTTTAAGATTTGAGTGATTCTTTCTTCCTAAAATTCCATGTAATTAATGTGTACTTAATTTTTTATAATTATATAATTTAACTAATATTTTAACCACAAAATATTTATATTTTATAACAAATAAAAAGTATAACAGAGTTTATAGTCCATAATTAATCGGGCTCGGATTGTATAGCACTAAAAAGAACTGAAATATGCGCTATAGTATGTCAAAAAAAAAAAAAAATTAAAAAATGCACTATAATATGCCCTAAAAATATTAAAAATAGCAATAATAGCAACAAAAAAAAAAAATATATAGTAATAAAGAATTATAATTTATAAAAGTGACCAAACGATACGTAGAACTGACACTGAAATATGTACCCATATGACAGTCGACAGTTTATTCTACAGTCTAAACAATAATAAAATAATTATAAATAAAACCGATAAGAAGTCTTAAATGAATAATATTCTGTATAGTCAAGTTACCTAAAAATAGATTATAATATCAATAATATGAAACAAAAAGTGGATTTTTTTTCTTATAGAATCACATAAATTAATTTTTTTCTTCTATTTTTAATTCAATACGAATGAGATTTATGAAAAATACAAAATAAAACTATGCATAATAGCAACAAAAATAGCATTATAAAATTTCATATTCGGAGTCCCATGGGCATAAAATAAATTTATCACTCACTTCACTATTTTTATCTTTATCCTATAATAATAAGCGAGTGTTATAAAATCTGAGCCCTGATAATTAATAATAAAAATTTAAATTTAAATATTTATTTGATTTATACAGGTTTTGATAAATTAAAATTTTTGAATTGTAAACTAGTTTTTGATAATTTTTTATTGTTATGCTCACTAAATAGGTACATATATGTATATATTTTTATTTTTCTATTTTTATTCTATTAAAATAGATAAATTAATTTGAAAATATACTATAGGCTCAAGAAAGACATGGTACTGCAGAAGATCGTATTCAGAGGTTGGAATCACAAGTTGAAGAGAAAAATGCTGAAGTTTTGAGAGTAAATCAAAGACTTAAAATGAATGAAGAACATAATACAAGACTATCAGCTACTGTTGACAAATTACTGTCAGGTTATTAGTTATTATATAATATAGCTAAAAGTTTTTATTTTTCTTTGTTATGAAATATAATTTTAAATTTTTTTAGAATCCAATGAACGTCTTCAAGTACATTTAAAAGAACGAATGCATGCTTTAGAAGAAAAAAACATGTTGACTCAAGAATTAGAAAAGTGTCGTAAGCTAGTTGAAGAATTACAAACAGAAAAGGTTTTTTTTTATACATTTAATTTAATAATTATATTCATTGTTAATGTTTTAATTTGGTTTAGACTGAAATATTGAAAGAACTTGGTAAAGCACGTATGGAAATTGATAATATTAAAAGGCAAATGCTTCAACAAGAAATTGCTTTTAATATTCAACAGACTGATGCATTAACTAGGTTAGTATTTAATTACATTTTTTGAGGTTCTAACTTAACTAAAATTAACAATTTTTATAGGAGTCTGTCTCCTGGTGGCCCTGATCAAAGTGGTTTTGTTCAAAGTTCTAGTCAACATTCAAATTTTGATACTCATTCATTGTCACGTCGATCAATGAAATCTAGAATGTCTCCAATGGAATCAAATCATGCAAAAGTAATTTAATAACATTTTTCATTTTTGTATTAATTTCTAACATAACATTTCATAATTAAAATCTTTATTATATAATGTTTATTATTTATTTAATAAATATAATTAATTTTGTGCTTTACTGTCAAAATTATGACTTAAAAATATTTATATGTTTTGGATAAATTACCCATGCATGTATTTAAATGTTTATAGGAATGGGAAAAATTACAACAAGCTCACGTTTTGGCTAATGTACAACAAGCATTTGATGCTTCTAGTGATGTTGATATGGATGGTGGTGATGATGATCTTGATGACGAGGCAGGCATGTATTGTGATACAGGAGAACCATTATCTCCTTCAGCAGCAGACGCGCAGACATTAGCTCTAATGTTACAAGAACAGCTAGATGCAATTAATACAGAAATTAGACTAATTCAAGCAGAAAAACAAAATACAGAAGCTCGTGCTGAAGAACTGGAATCTAGAGTTGGCAGCATGGAACATGTTAATCTCTTATCTAGAAATCGTAACTATGAGCGTCAATCACCTCCAGTTAGTGGCCGGTCTACACCTCAGAGAGAGTATTTACATAAATATCATTCAGTGAGTAAAATGTTTTAGTATAAATATAATTTTCTTTCTTAGTCACCAATCCATACATTCTTCTTTGCATTCTCATATTTATTGTATTCATTCAGAATGGAACATAGTGCAGAAGAAATGTCCTACATTGCATCTTATCTAATCTACTTTTTAATCTTATCCTTTTTTAATATAATAGATCTTTATTCTTAACACTTAGTTTTACAACACTAGTTAACACTTAACACTAGTTTTATATAATTATTAATTAGGTTATTAAAATTTGAAGATTTTGTTAATATCTGATTTAAATATAGCTTCAACTTAATGAAGAAGATGATATGGGCATTTCATCAACTCAAGATAACAATGGAGCAGCTAGTCCATTAACTGCACGTTCAATGAGGTTGGAGCGAGTTGCTCAAGCTTTGGCTCATAGTCAAGAAGAACTTAGAAGGTTAGTTACTTAATTTCATAATTAGATGGTTATAAAAATTAATTTGTTGTCTTAGACGTGCTGGCATTAATACTGTTCCATCAACACTAAATATGATAAACTACAACCCTTCATCATTAAGGTATGGTGTTTTTAAACTTATTTGGTTTGAAATAAATAAATATATTTTAATTTTTAACACACTGTAGTGCTGTGACATATGTAATATATTATCTAATTAAGATATTATAAGGCTTATATTTATTAATAATATATTTTATTTAAAAAAACAATAAATAATCTAGTTGAAAAAAAAAATATTAACACCTAATTGTTGACATACATAATTTATTAATAATTATCCAACTCCATTGTTATCATTTATTAAGACGATATCACACTTGCATGTGTTGTTTTACTAATGTACAACATAGTGAATCTATGTTCAATTTAATATGAAAGTAAAATAATCTATTATCAAAGTTAAGGGGTAGTTTATTATCAGTGCCATGTTATAAGTTTTTTTATGATGTTTTAATTTTTAAGTGAGTTATGATTATGTTAAATATATTAAAAAAGCTCAACTCCCTTAAATACTAAAATATTGTTAAAAAAAACCTATAACATCACACAGATAATAGTTTTCCTTCTAAGTTTGATAATAAGTCTATTTACTCCTCTAATACAATAAAAGTGATCAACACAAAATTGGCTCAACTGAACACAGGCTTGCTATGTAGTAAGTTAGTGGTATCTAAGTGGTAACAAAATATTTCATGTAGAATTCTATCATATGTTAGATTATTTACAGAACTATAAATTGTAAATATTAATAAAATAACCAAGAAGTATATAGATTATTGATTAATATTTATTAGTAAAATTTATAGAATAAAGGAAAAAATGTCCAAGTTTCATGTACAAGTTATATTATATTTAAATTTTAATAATTGATGTTAAGAGAATAGTTTTATATCACTTATATTCCCTCATATATTTTATTTTTCTGTTTCTATTAACTTTTTGTATATATTTTGTTAATTAGGTACTATTTTCTTTATATATACAACAACGCAATTACATATTAGCTGTACTTAGTGCTTCTTAGATATTTGTAGTAGCTGTTGGTTTGGGTTTGTAATATAGGGGTACCAGTGGGTTTTCAACGCCTCCATCACCGTTGTCCTCTCGTCACAGCAGTCAAGATTCTTTGCATCATGGACCAACATTGATGGGTCAAACTGGTACTAGTTTGTCAAGTATATCAAGTGCTTTTAGTGTCTCTCAAATTCAATCATATCATCATACATTACCTTCGTCTGCATCTGCTGCAGCTCAAAAGAAAAAAGGAATAAAATCATCTCTTGGACGATTTTTTAGTAAAAAAGAAAAGGTATATTTTTAATGATAACATTAACATTTTTAATAATGTTCTATTGATTTTTTTTTTTTTTTATAGCAAGGAAAAGGTAAAGACGGAATGAGTGGTATGTTGAGTCAAATGTCTTCTTCTGATATGTCACTAGCTAGTTCCTATGCTGGAGATGATACTTCCAGTTTATGCAGTGCTAGTTTAGGACAAAAAGGTGATTTTGACCGAAGAAAAAAGAAAAAGTAAGTGTTGTAAAATGATTTAATTGTAAAGAATTATAATGTTTATATATATATATTTGTAATTATATTTTTAGGCATGAATTACTTGAAGAAGCAATGAAAGCTGGAACTCCATTTGCTTTATGGAATGGACCAACTATTGTTGCTTGGTTAGAATTATGGGTTGGAATGCCAGCTTGGTATGTGGCAGCTTGTAGAGCTAATGTTAAGTCTGGAGCTATAATGAGTGCATTATCGGATACTGAAATACAAAGAGAAATTGGAATTAGTAATCCATTACACCGTTTAAAACTAAGACTAGCTATTCAAGAGATGGTATCCTTAACAAGTCCATCTGCTCCTGCCAAATCATTACGTTCAACATTAGCTTTTGGTGATATGAATCATGAATGGGTAGGCAACTATTGGCTACCATCACTAGGACTGCCTCAATACCGATCTACATTTATGGAATGTCTTGTTGACGCTAGAATGCTTGATCATCTTACAAAACGTGATTTTAGATCACAGTTAAAAATGCTAGATGGTTTTCATCGGTTAGTGTATATTAAATTTTTATTTTTAAAAATATTAAATCAAATTTTGCCTTATTTTTGTTTAGAACAAGTCTACAATTTGGTATAACTTGTTTAAAGCGAGTAAATTTTGATAGAAATCAACTAGAAGAAAGACGTCGCATTGCTGAACATGAAACTATTGACATTTTAGTGTGGTCTAATGAAAGAGTGATTAAATGGATAACTAGTATTGGTTTGAAGGTGTGTATATTTTTATTTTCGTTAATTATACATTTGTTGATTCTTCAAACAATTCATAAGAAGTCACATAAGTAGCAATAATAGAAAAATATATTTCTAAAAAGTTACAAAAAAAAAATCTAAAAAACTGTTTATAAAGTATTTGCATTGAAATATCGTATATTTTCTCGCTAAATATATGTATTAAAATTAGTTTATTTAATAATTTCAGTGTTAGCTATACCCAGAGCTGTAAAGAATACTTTTAAAAAGTATTAAGTATTTTTATATTTTTTTTCGAGTTTTTAAGATACTACTTTAATTGTATAGTATTTCAAATACAACTCAAATACTTTAAAAAGTCTTTGGAATACTTTTCAAATACTTTTGTAAAAAAATATTTGGAGTAATTAGGCCATAGTAAACTAACATTTTGCAGAGAAATAATTAAAAAGAATGCATTATGCTGTTCTGAATCACTGTCATCATCAGTATTTTGGCTAGAATTACTCATTAAAACTTGAAGTAATTGTAGTAACTATTAGGTTATAAACACAACTACACAAATCTTTAAATTAATAAATGAAAATAGTGTAGTCTTGCAGCTATTTAGTGATTGTGGGAAAATCTATGATATTCTCGTAATCCTGTATAACCAGGTATATATCATATCTGATATTAACAGTTACCTATGTAATAATAAAAAAAGAAATTTTGTTATTGAATTGGTATCTATATTTAGAAACCTGGTTTTTACAAACCTTCGTGCTTTGATTATAGTTGGCAATATTTTTCCAACCAAATATTTTGAATAAAATTAATATATTCGAAAAAAAAAATTGTATCCAATATAAATAAGTATTTAATAGAAAAAAAGTATTTAAAATACCATTGAAAATACTTCGTTCTGAAAGTATTTAAAAAATTATTCAATACTTAAAAAAGTATTTGAATACTTTTATTCAAATAATTATACACAAATACTTTACAGCACTGGCTATAACCAACATATGAAGTATATAATTTATACTTGCTTCACTGTTTTTTACTATTTTTATTATATATATATATAAGTAATAATTCTAATTTTAGGAATATTCCAACAATTTAATCGAATCTGGAGTACATGGTGCAATAATTGCACTAGACAAGAATTTTGATTCTAATACACTTGCTATGGCGCTCCAAATACCTCCACAAAACACACAAGTATGTAGTAGATTGATTAAAATTTAAAAAAAAAAAAAAGAAATCATATTTTAATTTTTTTAATTAGGCTCGACAAGTATTAGACACAGAGTTCAACAAATTATTAACCATATCATCAGAACGGAGATTAGACAGTAGTTGTAGTGATCTTGGAGCCTCCTGATATTACCCATCCACCTCTCAAGATTAAAAATGAGAGGTGCTGGATTTGACTGTTTTAACTGTGCCACATCAGCACTCATTAAAGTTGCCTAGTGGCATGGGTAGTTATTGCATATTTCAAAAAACAACAATTTGTTTTTTATTTTATTTTATCCTTTTCATATTTTAAGTGGCATTTTTGAGTTGAAAAATAATTTTTGAAACTTTTTTTTTTTATTGTTATTATACTAAGGAAATTGTTAATAATTTCATGAGAAAAATTACCATTTGACTAATTAATTTTCAACATTGATTCTTTTTAAATTTGTTTTTATAACGTTTGTTATATGTATAAATTAATTTCAACATCAAAAAAAAAAAAAAATTGTATACTTGAGTAATCATAAAAATTCCCTAGATGAGAAGGATATAAATGACAGAAAGTGCACAATTTCAGTGAGATTAAGTACCAAAGTATTGTTTTAATGTATTATGTGTATACTATTAGCATTAAGAAGTATTTACCTAACCATGATATGTACTAATTAGTGAACTAAACAAGTATAAAAAATTCTTTAACAACCTCTAATTTATAATCGCGATGCACAAACGTAATTGTTTTTATCTCTTCCTTCGCTGTTTACATTCAGTTTGTTTTAAAACTGAAATACTATGAGAGTAAAATGTATAAGTTTAAAATGTTTTTTAAACTATTAATATTATTTATTTTATTATTTTCCTTTTTTTGTTAGTGGCCAGTGTCGTTTATGTATTTTAAATGTATATCCTATCCTGTTATAGTAAGTAATATTCATAATAATATTATATAAATATATGGTGTATGTATTTATTTAAAATATAAATATTATATATATATATATATAAAATTATACACTATATGAATTGTTTATAATAAAATAAGTTTAATCTATATATAATAATTTATTCCTATAGATTCACCAGTTTGTTATTGTGTTTTGGAATAAAATGTGACACTTAGGCCAAATTTTCTGAATTAAATAAAAGTTATTGAATTTCTAAACTATTGTTGTTTGTTTATATTGTAAGTTTAATAATATGTTAATGAAATACTTAAGACATGTTATTTCCTACTAAATTACTATTATATATATATATATATATATATATAATATAAAAATGAATCGCAAAATGTGTTGGTAAGCGCATAACTCAACAACGCCTGGACCAATTTGGCCAAATCTTTTTTTCAAATGTTCGTTGAAGTTCAAGGATGGTTTTTACGGCGAGAAAAATTAGAATTATTGCTGGAAAAACCCTAAAAATAGCCCTTTTCTTTTTCTAATACAAATGATTTGTAACTAAAACGTAGTCAATTTGAGCTTTATTGCTATGGTATAAAGTTCATATTAAACTAGCTGGTTTACCCGGCTTCACCCAGGAGGTATTCAACTATTATATATAAAAAAAATGAGAATGAAAAAAATACTATTTTCTTATATTATAACTTTTTTATTTATATTGGCTTCGCAACTTCTTATCCAATTCTCATATAGTTTTTTTTAAATGAAAGAGGATAGGTTAGTAGTAATGAAGCAGTTTGGCGAATATTTTCTTTTCCTATTCATGAGAGACACCCTTCTGTTGTTCACTTAGCTGTGCATTTAGAAAATGGACAAAGAGTGTATTTTACAGCACAGAACGCAGTACAAAGAGCTGCTCAGCCACCATCTACTACATTAACCAGTTTTTTTTGAGACATGCCAAAACGATGATTTCGCACAAACATTGCTATATTCTGAAATGCCAAAATATTATACCTGGAATCAATCCTCAAGGAGATTTATACGACGGAAACAAGGAAAACCAGTTCCAGGATATACAGATGTATATTCCACCGATGCGATTGGCCGGATTTATTCAGTACATCCAAGCAATGATGAATGTTTTTATTTACGACTGCTATTAGTCAATGTACGTGGCCCAACATCATTCCAACAGTTACGAACTGTTGATGGTGAATTGTGTGGATCCTACAGAGAAGCCTGTCAACGTTTGCAATTGCTTGAAAATGACGCTCATTGGGATCAAACTCTCAATGATGCTGTAATATCATCACACGCTCATCAAATACGAACATTGTTTTCTATAATCATATCTACATGCTTCCCATCAAACCCAATTGATTTGTGGATCAAGTACAAAGATTATATGTGTGATGATATTTTGTATCAAATACAGAATAGAATGGGAAATCTAAATATACAAATCAGTGAAGAAATTTACAATGAAGCATTGATTTCAATTGAGGACATGTGCTTGATAATGTCAAACAAACTATTAATTCAATTAAGCCTGACCGCGCCCAATCGTCCAATGCATGACGCTTTTAACCATGAGTTGCATCGAGAAAGACTATGATCTCAACGCTTTGAAAGAATTAATTCAAACAAATCTTCCACTGTTAAATGAACAACAGAAGTATGTATTTGAAACTCTTATGAAAGTAACAAATGATGAAACTGGAGGGATTTACTTCTTAGATGCACCTGGTGGTACAGGAAAAACTTTTTTGATTTCATTAATATTAGCAACAATTCGCTCACAAAATAAAATTGCACTTGCACTCGCTTCGTCGGGAATCGCAGCAACTTTGCTTGAAGGTGGTCGAACAGCCCATTCAGCACTAAAATTGCCATTAAATATGCAAAGCAATGAAACTCCAACCTGCAACGTTTCGAAGAACTCTGCAATGGCAAAGGTTTTGCAGCAATGTAAATTGATTGTTTGGGATGAATGCACGATGGCACATAAAAAATCTTTGGAGGCTTTGGACAGAACCTTAAAAGATCTACGGAGCAATAATAACTGATTTGGTGGTGCAATGATTTTATTAGCAGGAGATTTTCGTCAAACATTGCCGGTGATTCCACGATCAACGCCAGCTGATGAACTCAATGCATGTCTAAAGTCCTCCAGTTTGTGGAAACATGTCAAAGTACTTCATTTAAGCAAGAATATGCGTGTCGAGTTGCAAAATGACCAATCTGGAAACATATTCTCTAAACAACTCATTGACATTGGTAATGGCAAATTTCCTATAGACATGTTGACTGGCTGCATTAACTTTCCTCAAAGTTTTTGTCAGTTAACTCGATCAAAAGATGAACTTATTCAGGTGTTTCCAGATGTTTCTCAAAATTACAGAAACCATGATTGGTTGAGCGAACGAGCTATACTGGCTGCAAAAAACATAGATGTAAATGAATTAAATTTCAAAATTCAAGAACAAATTACAGGCGAATTGAGGATATATAAATCAGTTGATTCGGCTACTAATCAAGATGATGTAGTCAACTATCCACCGGAATTTTTAAACTCGCTGGATTTGCCAGGATTGCCACCTCACAATCTTCAATTAAAGGTTGGATCGGTGGTTATAATGTTGCGAAATATCAACCAACCGCGTCTTTGCAACGGTACACGGTTAGCGATAAAAAAATTACTAAACAATGTGATAGAAGTAACTATACTCAAAGGAAAGTATAAAGGAGAAGATGTTCTCATACCACGCATCCCAATAATTCCGACTGATGTGCCATTTGAGTTTAAACGACTACAGTTTCCAGTGCGTCTTGCTTTTGCTATGACTATAAACAAGTCCCAGGGGCAATCATTAAGTGTTTGTGGTATTAATCTAGAAAACCCATGTTTCTCACATGGTCAATTGTATGTTGCCTGTTCCCGTGTTGGAAAACCATCAGATTTGTTTATCTATGCGCCAGTTAATCAAACAAAAAACATCGTATACCACAAAGCACTACAATGATAATAATAATAATTATGATTCACATGATTAACAATAAAGCGATTACTTACTTTTAAATCCTTATATATGTTTTATTTAATTATTTTTTATTCACAACGCCCTATCACCAGGGTGACGGTTCTGTTCAGGAGAATTTTTTAAAATACGTAGACACAAAAACTGCCACATTACAAATCTTTTTGACAGGACGAAGTCTGTCGGGTCAGCTAGTATATATATATATATATACATTTAAAGTGTATTTTACCTTACAAAAAAAAAAAAAAAAAATCATTCTATTTTATTTGATTCAATTTTTAATTATTTAGTGATTATTTAAAAAACTATACTTTTATAAAATGGAAGTGTATTGTTTAGATTATTAAGTATTCTCATCCTTTTTTTTAACTATGCATTTTTTCAAATTCTGATTCATGGATAACATGTAATATAAGATTAAATAATCTAAGATATAGAATTGTAGTTTTTAGAGTTCCTATGATTTGGTTAAGTATCAATTTTATCAAATGAGAGCTTCATAATTTTTCTAATATATTTAAAATTTAAACCAGTACTTTTCAAAATAAAATATCTAGAATAAATGAATGAATTTGCTTAAAAATTCATCATGTTTGAAAATCGTTTTTCTTATTTGGAGGTAATTTCTGTTTATTACATGTATAACAAAGATTTGAATGTTTTCTATCTCAATGTATTAATAATAGATTTAATAATATGCTAAAGAAAATTTTCTAAGATTTGTTATTTTTTGACTTTCTCACTTTTAGATTCTGGGAAATCAGAAAATGAGAAATTATTGGTTTTACTATGATTGCATGGTTTTCGTTTCTGTGTACAAAATTTTCAACCATAAGGATTGCTCTGATCATCATAACCATACATAGGAGATCTCTGAAGGTAAATTATGTCTATTTAATACTTTTAAATAGATTATTTTACAAATCTCATAAAAGTTATCTTATTACAAAAAAATAGATGTAAAGTTGTAAAAAAAACTTTCGTAACCAGATTTTGACATAATCAAATTTTTGTTTTCGTTTAATTCTAATATCACTGTTCGCTATAGATTGTATTATTTTCTGAACTTTTTTTTGCTATTTATAAATAATTGAATGGTTATACTTTTTTAGCTTTTCTTTAAAAATGTTGATAAAATAATTTTGATATTACAAGAAATCTTAAAAATATTTAAAACCTATATTTTATGTTGCCTAGAAATGTCACCTTTATTTATTTATATTCTCATAAATTAAATAAATGACAATCAATTTTAAATTTGATTAAATTGATTTTAGTAGAATTTATATAGACATAATTAAAAACAGAAAAGTTTTCCTCTAACTTAATGGCAAATTTAGAAAAATTAAGTTTTCAAAATTTTAAATATAAATTTTTTTTTTTTAAATAATTTACTTAACATTGTTTTAAAAAAAAATGTATAAATTATATGAGTTCGCATTTTAAAAAGTTAAATTATATGAACTATGAATTTCTTAACAATTTAAATTGATATGCATCATAAATGTGCAATAAAAATGTTATTTTAAAACATAGAACATGATTTCCATAAAGATTTTTTTTTAACAAAAAAATTTAAAGATATATTTACATAATTATGTGCATAAAATCAAAAGTTATATATTTAATGTTAGATAACAAATTTTAATATGCAAATCTATCTATATTGAAATAGGAAAAACAAAAACAATTATTATTGTACAGTTCATGTAAAACACACAATTTGTATACAACTAGTCTTGTGAAAATTAGAATACATTTTTTTATTTAAGTCACAAAAAAAAAAATCAAATCAAATTAAAAGCAAAAATTTAAGTCAAAATAAGGTCAATAATTAAAAAAAAAAAAAATGTGATTTAATATGAAATACTTAAAAGATATTTATAAAAATATTGTGTATTTGTACAAGAATGCAATCACTAGAAGTATACAATGTACATGAATGTAATGTCTAATAGTATATAAGAACATAATAAATTGATAATACGCAATGGACAAAAGTATATCTTTCAATGCGGTTTATTTTGTATCTAAAATTCCATTGTTATTGAGGAGTTTTTAATAATGGTAAATTAATGACAAGCTGATTTGAGTAGAATATGAATTTATTAAAAATGTATTCAATTTTTTCTTTAGTTACATTAAAATCGGTTTTAGTTCTATAAGTACTTTCATCAAAAATTATTAATAAAGCTGAGTACTTCTAGTTTTTTCATATTTGTCTTAAAAGGTTGCAGAAGAAAGTAAGTGACATAAATATTTTTCATCATCGGAGGATATATTTACACTGGAAGTACTAGAAATGCTCAACCCTAGTTATTACTTTAATGAACATTTATTAGGAAATCAAATTTTATTTTAAATTCAAAATACATGACTTATCTAACTTATCTTCTCATCCACCAATCATCTATTCCTTGAGTTTTATCACTTTGATTACCCTGTCCTCCTTTTAAATTTCCAAATACTCCCATAACAGCTTTGTTTACAGCAGCAGCCACCATGTCTGGATTAATATTTTTATCACTTGCAAAATTACTATTAACTAATTGTTGTCCATTTCCTCGAGTGTACAGCCGTTCATATATTTCCCGATCATAATCCCAATTATCATTTTGGGACCAGGATTGCTGGTGTTTCGGTGATCGATCTCTCCTTTTATCCTTGTATCTGTCTCGATTATCATATTCATTCCACTTAGGTGCCATTTCTTTTTTTGGTATTGCTTCTGTACACACTACACTGCAATCTCCAACTTTATGATCTTTGCCAATCACTTTCTGAGCTGATAACGGGTCAGTAAAAGTTACAAATGCAAAACCTCTATGTGGTCTTGGTAAAAATAAATCTGATATCTCCCCAAATTTGATAAAATAATTTCTTAATGCATCTTCATCTACATCTTCAGATACCTGACCTATAAATACTTTACGGGGCACTTTATTAACCTGCTTGTCTTTACTATTGGGTATCCGCACATCACACCATCGACCTTCTATGTTGTGCCGTTCTAACATAACACGCACTTGAGATTTTTTATGTTTAAACCTGACAAATCCATATCCTTTTGATTTACCATTAGCATCAGTCTTAATTTGAGTATATTCTACTTGACCAAATTTAGCAAAATATTTTTTCAAGTCTTCTTCAGTTACTTTCCATGGCAAACCCAACACAACCAAATCCATGTCAGAAACACTATCATCATCATCATCATCTTCTGTCTTAGTACTATTTTCAATTTCATTATGTTTACGTTTTGCTGATGGTGTATTACGAAAATTACACATATAAATACGATCTAACCAACCATCTTCAGGAGGATACAATTTGCCCTCATTGAGACGAACTATTCTCAACCTATTGTTAACACGATATTTCAAACCAATAATCCCAGGATATTGTGCTTCTAAAGTAGACAGCAGAAGACTATTATCCTCTTCAGTAGGCATATCAATAGGATCACTGTTTTCACTCTCTGATACTTGCACATACATTTCTAAGTAAACAAATAAACCAAATTAGTTTTATTCTTAAAAAAAATTGAATTATTTTTATAATTTAATTAAATAAATAGTGCAACAGATGTTATGACAAAATTGTGACATTTAAACTGTGATACTGAGATACTATAATCTATATTAAACATATTCTACATCGTTTTATTAACCATTAATCAATTAATAAAAGGAAACAATTTTATTTATTTATAAATAAAACTGTATTCTTTCAACTCTCTTGTTTTTATTGAATTTAAGTGCTTGTATATAATTAGGCCCACAATATCTACTTGTCACAGTATATACAATGTTACTTGCTTAATGTGGGCCTGGCTTCTTAAAATGTTAGACACTGCTGTGTCTTAATAATCAATTTTTAGTTATACACCAAAATACATATTATTTTGATATAAATAAAATTTAAAAAATATGTAATATGTATATTATATTGATTTTTAATTAGATTATTTTAATGGGATATATACATTACATATGTAATTAATAAATAAAATGTAGATATGAACTAGGTGAACTATTCTACGGCAATAAATACAATTTTAAATGTAACTGATTATGTAATAGAACATATTTATTTTATAAAAAATGTTAACCATTAATTAATATAGGTAACATATATATGTGTTATTTAGTGCCAAAGAGATATCTATGGTGCCAAATTACTTACCAAAGAATACGTATCTAAAATACCATAGAAGAAAATTATTATTAAGATCTTAAGAATGAGAATATAAATAAAATTGATTGTGTATGACAACCACAAACACTAAATGGTCGATAAATTGTTAACCTAACAGTTATTATGCAAAAGGTACTTGAAAAATAAATTATCAAATACTACTTAATAAATTAAACGAATTTACGTAATATTATTCTCGGATAATCTAGTTAAAACTTTAAATGATCAATAATATTAAAAAAGTATAGTCAAATATGTTATTAATTATATTGAACCAAATACTACTTGATCATCTTTTTCATCCACACGTTATCATAAGAGCCGGCAGCCATATGCAATTACAAAATAATTTTCTAAAGTGCCGCGACGACAAATATAACTGTGCGGGTAAAGTAAGTCTTCAACGTGGCGACACTGGAAAGATCAATTGGTTTTTTTTTTTTTTTTTTGATGACGATAGCAACGTATAAACAATAACAAAACTTCAAAAGGAGTAATTATCGAAAAATTGTTCCCTCTCCGATGAATTGTAAGAACATCTATAAGATTATAGATAGACACTTGATAGAAAGCAGTTTTCCTACTGACAGTCCAGGTAAACGCTGTTTCAATTATGATATTTACTTATACTAGCTTTATTCAGTTACTTCGATGATAGCATTGTGTTTAGGAATCTCAAAAATGCAATAATTATGTTAGAAACAAAAGTTTTGAAGTTGTTAAAAGGCGACGCTTTAGATGAAAATGAAGAGTTATGTGACTTCACTTTAGCCGATCAAAACGAAGCTTGTGGTAATGCATATTTTTCACAGTGTTTCTAATATATTTTTATACTTTATATTTATTACTTAGAATTATTAAATACCCAAAATAACATTTACATTAATTCAGTTTAGAAAGGGTTATGCTTACATAAAGTAATAATAAAAAATAATTTTATTAATATTATAAATGTAAAAATCTATTTTAAAAATAATATATTTTTATCAATACATTTTAGAAAATAAATAATATCTCCTATTAAAATAAAATATCTCTATATAAAACGACAAGTTTTTCTCAATATTTTCCTTAATTTTTTTATATTCAGTGAGATTTTTTCGACTTTGTATTTTTAAATTGTACTTAACAAATATAATAATACTCCAAATTGAGTATTTATTTATTTACATATTAATGTTCAAGTATTAACTATTTACTAATTTTTAATTTATTTCTCATTATTTTATTATAATGTTAACTGGCAACTTTTTAACATACCATTTACTGAAATATATATTACATGTCGAAGACCCTTAATAATATAAAATTTATTAAATTTAATTTTTAGGGCTATTAAACTAGATTAATTTTTTGGATTAGTGTTTATTACTCTTAAGCATTGTTTAATTTTCATACATTTTATTTATTGTTAGTTAATATTTTATAACTATGCTAATAATAATTTTTAACATTTTAAGCGGCAAAGGGTGTTATACCCATAGGTCCTTCTGACTATGTGCCAATTATTAAAAGTACAGTTACATACATTGTACTTGTTGTACTAGTCAACAGTGATGATGAAGTACTCATGATGCAAGAAGCTAAAAGTACTTGTGCTGGTCAATGGTACTTACCTGCTGGTCGTGTGGAACCTGGGGAAGATTTACATGTTAGTTGAAATATTATAAAATTATAGTACAATATGAACAAAATTATAATTAAAATTGCTTAGGAGGCTGTTAAAAGAGAATGCTTAGAAGAAACTGGATTAGAAATGGAACTTGATACATTATTATTGGTAGAAGTTGCATCTAAAGCATGGTTTCGTTTTATTTTAACTGGAAATATCATTGGTGGTCGTTTGAAAACACCTGGTCAAGCTGACCGTGAATCTTTACAAGCCAAATGGATTAAAAATATTTCCGAGGTACTATTTTTAATTTTTTTTTTTTGTGCTATTTGGTACGACTATTCAAGTCTTATAGAATGGTCAATTGTTCATTACAATTATCATTAAATCTCAAATTTTGAGCTACACATATCATTATTTTAATTATTAAGTTCTTGAATGAAGAATATTAGATATAGGCTTGATATTTAATTCATGAGAATAAATTGTAAATATTTAATAGAAATTATACTAATTAGCAGTGGTGTAGTGAAGGGTACACGTGTACCCACTTCCATTTTTTCAGAATATGCTTGTACCCAATAAAAAAACCAAAGTCCAAACCAAAGTTTGTGTACATGCGTATAACCACTCGTTAGTTTCTTTATTTATTTTAAAAATATATTAACATTTGTCAATTTACAATTTTACACTAGTGTTTCATGTGAATTGTATTGTATTATCTTCACTAATCTTAATTCGTCATTTATTAAGTATCACTTGAAAATTATTTTGCATTATTTTATAGTTTATATGATAGTTGCTATAAATAAAATGTAAATTGTAATGTGTGTAACATTTCATCAAGCACAAAATTCAAACTAAATCATAATAGAGCATTGAGTTATATTACATTAAAAATAAATAATATTGTATAGTTCATAATTTATGATTGAGAAATTATACTTTTAAGAAATTTTTGAGGGGTAGGGGCAAAGCTTTTCAGATCATATTTTTACTGTGGAAATTTTATTTTTGACAGAATTTGGCATATACCCACTTATATTTTTAGCACTACATCACTGCTAATTAGTAATACCAATTTAAAGAATTAAAAATAATTATTTATTTATTTATATATATATATATATATGTGTGTGTGTTGGTGACTAGGTGACCCTTCGTTCAAATGACATATTACCATTAATAGAACGTGGCCGAGCTTATTGTACACATATAAAGAACAAAATTCGTCATCAATGGCATCCCAGAGTTTTACCTGCTGTTAAAGCTCATAAAAAACTCTTGTTACGACTTCTTATTTGTGCTAAAGAAAAATCTGGGTTGGTTCAATTTTTTAATGTTCTAATATATTTTAATATCACCATTTCAAGTAACTATTATTTTTCAGGAACAAATTGAATGTGCTTGTATCGGAAAAAACAGAAGCTCATTTACCTATGTGTGAAATTAACCATAATCGAAACTTACATTCAACATTACGAAAATTTATGACTGTGAATACCATTCAGTTTATACATTGTGGAATATTTTCATAATTGCAATTTTATTTTCTAGGAAATATTTGGTGCTGATGTGGCACCTCATAAACCTCATGGTGTATTAAGTGTCGAACATTGTGGTAAACCGGAAACCACTAATGATGGTTTTTGTTTATCATTATTAGTTACTTTTCAATCACCATTAGAAGATGTTTTCCCTATTGGAAAGTATAATTGGACAGCTGTATCTCCAGAATGTGCAGATTTTATTAAACAACGAACTATAAGAAACATGACTGTTCCCCTTAAAGTTATATGTTAAAAGGTAACAAAGAGTTGCCATAAACATGTTATGCCCATCAAACTAAAAGGTGCTTTATCATAGATTTTATTTTATAGCTATGTATATTTAATAATTATTATTATTGTTAACAATATACATAAATCATAAATATAAATTAAAATTATTTATTATACTTGTCCACCCTTTAATTTTCTTCCTTTTTTACTGAATTTCTTTAATTTTTTATTTTGGATGGTACTAGTATTCTTAGGTATTTTAGTGGCCGGCCCATTTTTATCAGTATCACTCTTTCTTTTCAATTTCTTTTCACCATATGTCTTTTTCAATCCCTTCATCTTTCTTGTCTGTAAAGTGTTCACATCCTGTTTGGTCATGTGCAGGCGTCCTAATTTAGATCCAAAATTATCACGACGTACACTCTTAATTTTTTTACCCTGTAAATCCATAATAATTAAACGAAAAGAATTCAATCTAGGTAATGTAATTTAAATAGTATACCTTTATACTGGATCTTTTGCAAGCAGTTTTAAATAAGTCAGCACTAGCCATATGATCTCTTCTAACTACAAAATCGACAGATGGTCCAACTTCTTGCAGCTCAACATGTGGAGTTTTTAAACTGGTTTTTGACAAAATTGTTCTAAAAGTAAAAATAGTATTTAAATAATTTATAAATAAAACATAAATGTAAAGAAAATTACCTGTAAGAACGTAATAATATTTTACTATCAACTGCAGTAAATGACATGACATGCTCAATGCCATTTGGTCTAATTTGTTTTAATGGTTGTCTTTGGAAAATGTCAATGAATAAATTTCGTAGACGTTTTAATTGCTGATCACTGTCAAATTGATCACCCAAAAACACTAAAACTGGTTTTACACCAACTGAAATTTCTGATAAACCTTTAAATTCACTACATCCCTTGTATGATTCAATGCCCAATTCAAACATATCTAATATGTGTTGATCATAAGTACGTCCTGTAAAACATTAAGATTTTAAAATTTGTAAGGCTGAAGTAAATATAATTAATACTTCAATAATTATCTTTCCATAATACAAAATTAAAAATGATATGATATTTTTCCAAACATTTATTTTATTTTAATTATGCAGAGATAATTACAAATATATTAATCAACAATAACAATATCTATTATAAAAATCAAGATACTTTTCCATTATATTCTTACTCATTTTAAGATTAGACAATCAACATTTTGTAAAGTTGAGATTAAATTAATTAAAATTGAATTGTTACTTGATTAGTAATTTGAGATATTTTTATTTTGAAGATTTAACATAATTCATTTTTAAAACTTAGAGGAAAATGTTAGCACATAATATATCTAACATATAAGTAAACAAATTGCATATAAAGACATTTTTATAATATTTGATAAAATACAATTTCATTTATTTTAAATATTCAAAAATAAAATCCTAAACCAAAAATTAGGATATAACTATGAGTAACATTTCATACCAAAATAAACATTAAAGCTAATAAATATCATGTTTCCTCTCTTATGACATTAGAACTATTTAAAATATATAAATAGGCGATATAATCATCATTAAATAATATACATAAAATATATTAACCCTAATAATTTATTTATTTTATATTTATAGCTTGATTACAGGTTACTATAAACTTATATTTTTGTTTATGACTAAAAAAATAAAAAGACAAGTCTACATCTGCAGATTACGTTAACTGAAAATATAGTTGAAATTTGACTTACCAAGCACCAAATTGTTTGGTCTTTTTTTGCTGTGCGAAGAAAAGAAAAATAAAGATGAGTCATGCTTCTGTAGTAATTTTTCAATTTGTACTGCGTCATCAAAAGGCAAAATATCATTTTTTTGGGTTAACATAACAGCGTCTGGCTTCTTGAGTTTTAACTAAAGATATTAAAAAAATGTTAAACTATGTTGGGTAATACAGACTGAAACTTACTAAATCTTTCATGCAGCTGCTGACATTTAAAGATGATTTACGACCAGGAATAAACAGAACATGCTTCGGGTTCTCCACGATCTTTGGTTCTTTTTTTAACAAGATCCTTTTACCTCGTTTTGTCCTGGGTTTTCTACAAAAAAATTAATGTAAATAGGTACTAAAAACAATATAATTTTAATCAAAAAAATTTTACATACACCACTCTTTGCATAACGCCCATTTTGAAAAACAATAAAATAATAAACTTGACTGGAATGTCAATATGAAAATTACAGTGTAAATGTCATCACGTGTTTTTACTTGTTAGTTAATTATGTTTATTTTATAATGATAACATAATAGATATATTATGATAATATCGGTAAAAAAATTTTTTTATTATTATTATAATACGGGAAATTTATATTTCTGATACTGGCACAACCGGGCTTGGGTCAGTTCTCCTCATTGATAAGAGATAAAAATGATAAGAAAGCATTTTATAATGATAACCAACTGTTCGGAATCAAATTTTTTACTGCCAGGAATTTAACGCCAAAGAGTTAGGCAATACTGTGCTTATGTATTTTATGAATTTAACCGTTTTACTGATTGCATTCTAAAATTATAAATCAATATCACTTTGGTTATTGTTTAAGAATATCACCTGTGATTATTTCATGAGAGAACTTCCAGCGATTATATTTAATAATAATCTAAACCTCTATACAATTTCTTGTTACTTAGTTTTGACTTATAATCGTTAATGGCACCAGAGTTTTTAAAGATTTTATGAGCTATTTTCTTTTTAAATATTAAATTTTTTAGTTCAAAATCAAACCATATAGGATATTTTTGACGAGTTATTATTTTTTTTAGAACAAATGTATCAATAATTCATAAATAATAGAATAACATAAATTTGTAACTGGACTATTACATTAATGTAATTGACTGTAATATTATTTTTATTACATTTATTTATTAAACTGAACATTATTCCTTAACAACCAAAATAAAATTACAATATATTATTTATATAAGACATAATTAAATTTTGAATAGTTTGATTCATAACTCATATTATTATAATATTTTAAATTATAATAATATTATTAGTGATTGATATGATATATTGATAATAATAGCCTAACATTATGATAATGGTGAATAAATTACGTGCATGCGCAGAACGCACAAGGTGCATTCCTGTTTAGACGCTCCTCTATACCAGCCCTCGCTTTATTTTGTATTTTTGTTCTTAAGTTGTTAATCATACAGAGTCGTAAACTAGGCGAGAATACTACTCGTTCTGCGTATGTCTCACGACTGCTTGAATTGCACGACCGATAATTTATGACCCTCAATTCACACATCTCAATTGCAGATGCTCCTGATTTTTTAGAATTATTTATTTTTTCAATTCTTGATAATAAACTGATCTAATATTTTTAATCTTTTGGACCATTTCATGAATACCAAAGCCATCGATACCTATTTTATCGTATATATATTTTTTAAGGCCCCATCTCTTGTATTTCTTTGTACACTTCAGAATTTATTTTCCACAAACATTCCGCATCGCGATACAATTCAACAAATTGAATTGTTTGTTTTGTATTTATTTCGTACACTGATATTAGGTCGCGTGCACATAGGTGAGTGTTGCACGGTGAGTGGTGAACGATGAGCGTTGAGCGGTGAGCGATGAAGTGTGTACACTAAACAGCACGCGATGAGCGTTGTCTACAACATTATTTTATTTTAGTGTAGTGACTTAGAGCACTATGGCACTATGTTCGGAAATTCGTCGTATTTTATTGTTCGAAAATTCATTTTTACGATGACTACGCCTCTTAACTAAAAAGAAAAAAAAATAGATGTTCACGAAATGAATAAAAAACGAAGTGTTCTAGGCAAGTTCCATCATGTATATGAAGAATTAAGACTTGGTCGAGAGAGATTTTTCAAATTTTTACGTATGTCAATAGAAACTTTTGATTTTCTTTTTTCAATAGTACAATTCAAATTAACAAAGCCGGTGACAAATTTCAAAAAATTTCTGCGGTTGAGAGACTTTATGTCACTCTAAGGTAAGCCATTAAATATGATTTTGTTTTAATTATTATATTATTACGTAGGTAGGTATTCAATATAAATATTTAAATTGTTTTTGTTAAACATTTTCCTTTAAATATTTTATAAAAAGCAACATTGTGTTTATAAAATCTGTATCTATGAAACAACTGTATTAAGACTTCTAAGGTTTAAAAAATAAACAAAAAACAAACAACTTTAATAAAAAAAAACCATAATAATATATTACCTATTCCTAACTGGAAAATATACAACAGCTCCAATTTCATCCCACAATTTATTGTTTTTTCAGGTTTTTTTATAATCGGCGTGTATATAATTCCATAAAGATGGTCTTCCCTGCACTTCTGATATGAGAAGTTCTCGACTTGCATTTGTAAAATGTATTTTTTGAGAGCACATGATATTTTATAAAACACGTTTTAATTTATACCAATGCAAAATATAAATACAACGCTCACAATTCAAGTCGTCTTGAAAAATAAACGACGCATCGCTAACGCTTAACGCCCGAGATCAGTGTACACAGTTCCGATAAAATTACCATGTTTGATTTATTTTTGTCAACGCCCACCGCTCACCGCGCAACGCTATCCAATGTGTACGCGGCCTTACGCTGACGTAGGAAATGTTATTATTATATAAAAATAAAATGATTCATGACTATACCGGTCGTGTTTACTCCAACATGCCGGAGTAATCACGACCTATCTATTTTTGGTCGTAGACAACTACTATCACGACTACCAGTTCACACCAGGTAGTGATCACGACCAACCCTCTTAATAGTAGTATTCTCGCCCAGTTTACGACTCCGTGTGAACTCGGCTTAAAACTAGCACTGGATCAAAAAATACAATGCCCCTTAATTGCCTTGTATTCGTACCATTAACGAAATTTGCTAAACTACTTGGAAAGGGTGCTTATCTAATATCTCATAGCAGAAATATTTACCATAAAAACGCTGTTCAGGAATTATAAATAATTTTTATATATTATTATTAATCTCAAAATAAAATTATTAATTGGTAGGTACTTTAAATACAGCTCACAACGGACAAATAAAAGAAAATAGATCTTGGTTGTAACCAATAATTGACACATTAATATTTCTTGAAAAACAAAATAAACGTATTCGAGGACATCGCCATGATGGTAGTATATTTGACGATTCTCAAAAACCTACAGAAAATAACGGAAATTTCAGAATTTCAACAGATGATAAGATTTTAAAAAAATATCTATTAACCTCTGAGTCTAAAACTACTTACATTAGTAAAATGACATGGATTGAACTTATTTTTACTATGGGAAATTTAACATTAAAAAATGTGTTGGAAAGAGTAAAACCATTAAAGTTTTACAGTGTTATCTTCGATGAAACTATTGATACATAAAAAATATATCAGTTAGTCTCTGATATTCGACATGTATACAAAAATGAAGTGTACGAATATTTTGTCGGATTTTTGGATTGTTATCGAGAAAACTATAAAAATACTGGAGGGAAAATAGAAACTAAAATTACCTTAGAAATTATAGGAAATTCAATTTTAAGTATTTAAGAAAAGCTTGATTTACAGTTTGAAAAGTACGTTGAAATTACAATAGATGGATGCTCTGTTATGCTGTCCGAAAAATTTGGAGCTGTTAAAAAACTTAAAGCAAAACTTAAAAATGCAATCAAATGCACTTGTTTTAATCATGCCTCACATTTATCGATTATGAATGGTTAGATTGTTAAATTGTTTTGTATTAACATATGCACTTATTCCGTTTAATACTTTTTCCTCAAATATCAATCACTTTTTCTTCCTACGTCGACTACTTACTTTTCATCTTCTCATCCAATATTACTCCAACTCCATTCTTAGTATAGTACTAAGTAACTAAGTACTACTAGTAAATAAAGATAATTTTGGGAGCCAGTTATTTAGTTTGATTGTAGATGAAGCTAAAGAAGAGTCGAAAATTGAACAAATGAGTATTTGTATTTGATATTAGCACGATTTTAAAACTGTTTTTATTTTAACGATTTAATTTAACGAGCTAAATGCTCAAGCATTATGTGACGACTTGCGATTTTTTTTAAAAAATTGCTGGTTTGGATATTTCAATATATGTGAGTCGGTCTTATGATGGAGTATCAATAATGTCGGGAGCTTTTTCTAGTGTTCAAACAAAAGTAAGAACATTAACGGTAAATTCTTGCCACACTTACAGGTTTAATCCAATAGAAGTTAACATAGCAAAAAATATTCATATAGTAGGAAAAATAGTTTATTAAAAGCTATTTATATGTTTTAATCGGTTTCTACACTTTGCCATCACGTTTTTTTTTTATTGCTTGCGAACCACAACAAAGTGTCATCAGTTCCGTTTCGCGGCACATTTAATTCTTTAACGAGACTCAAAAAAAATATTGTACATAGTACCTTACCATTTAAGATATAATACCATATAATTATACCGAAACAAGGATCGGATTAAGGTTACATTTCAATAAGAAATATTTTATTACACATTTTTGTAAAACAATGAAAATGTTTTTGACGCAAAATACGTGGTTTTATTATACAATACATTAATTTAACAAAAAATATAAATACATTTTTACAATAAATAATTGTCTTCTTAACTTAGGCCAACGGGCCTGATTAATGTGCTGTCACAGCCAAGCCAACCGGCAAAGTCTTTTGCATTTCACATAATCCTAGTTGACGTATAAAGCAGTAATGTAATGAAAGTCATTGCTGCATGTCATAATAACAAAAACACTATCTGTAACGAAAACGTTTATATCAAGACCTACACATGACACGAAGAATACATTTATAAATTAAAATTGTATTGTTATAGGTAAGATTGTATTTAAGGATCGGATGGAGAAGCAGGAGTTTTATTCTTAGGTTAAGGAGGTATTTTAACGGATTTTTTTTCTGGTGAAATTCCAATACTCTGCAGAAACGAAACTTACGTGTGAAATAATATTTCGGTATGTATTATCGAGACGTCATTTGGTTTGAACCGTTATAACGGCCGATCCGATTGGAAAAAATAACGGTTAGTAGCTATGAACTGATTAACAGTTTTGTACGGCTGACCGGTGAAAAAACCGTCTATGGTTTGGTTTATCGTGCTTTCAGCTAAAAAATCAAAAAACAGCAATTTATAACGAAATTTTGTAATACGTATATGTTCATTGTATGTTTATAAAAAAATATTGAAATAGAATTATAAATTTTTAAACAATGTAACGACGATGATGATTATGTATGTTTTTAAAAATACTGAAAAACATCAAATCGCTTTTGGTGCGTAACAATAAAATAATAAAGTATCGTACTCGGATCGCTGGCGCTTTCCATCATGGTCCTCGATATGAGTCGGACGAGAATCTCAAATTCGGAGGATTTGATGATTGGCCCGTACTCAAAATATGGTCTCATACGGTCTGAGACCAACAGCTTGATCCTTTCGTAGGAAACTATCCGTTCCTCTTCTAGGGACAGGAATATTGGTCGATACTCGGGATTAAAGCAGTTATCAAACACCTGATTTAGCTCTTCGTCTATCCGGGCTCGCATGGCATGGGGTAGTCTTCTCATGTTCCTTCGGAACTCGTGTGTCGTAGCCACCATAGCGCTGAGATTTTTATCGTTCTTAACGATGTCAATCATCTCGGGTCGCACGGTATTCGGGTCCACAATGGCTTCCGTTGGCGTTCCCGGAAACATTGATGTACGGTTGAAATTTTCAATGGCTAATGTCATAATGGCCTGTTCGTCCTGTTGATCTGAAAGCGTAAATAAAACGTTTATTTTAAGGAAACGTAATAGTGTACGCTCGATTATGTGTTGCCTGTAACAGACGTTAGGTTTTATTTGCAATAAAGCCAAAATCTAATTACCGAAGACTTGTGCCTGCGTCGGGAACTGAAGTAAGTACGCGTCGCCACAGTTCTGCTGTCTTTCATCAATATCGACAACAGCGACCTCCATCGTCGATGCAGTTTCATGATTTCTATTGTCCGATTGCGCTATGATGGTCGTCATCAGCCGGTCGTGGATCGTTGAAGTGCCGGTACAGATTTTCACTTCGTCTATCTGTTTACCCATAAGAAAGCATTACGATCGTGAATCATTTGCGTAATATTGTTTCATTTGTCGTTTTAGCATGAGCATATTTTAGTGGTGGAGGCGAAGGGGCGATCGCCTCCCCCCTTGAATTTATATTTAAGTAATTGATTTCATGTCAAATTTCAAATTTTTTTAATGTAGATCATTTTATAATAAAATCAAATTACGCGTGGCTGTGAATACTGTAATTAGCTTTTTGTCGGGTCCATGCTTAGTGAAAAACAATTAAAATACAAGCGTAACTTTCAAAACACAGACAGGTGTTAAAAAAAAATTATACAAAATCGATTCTAACTGGATCCGACATTAGATTAAAAAAAAAAAAAAACACAAATATTAAGGATTCACCTGGCAAAATATTACCAACAATTTTACTTGTAAATTTTGACCCTGAATTAAAATATATTTGAGTCACCCCGCTCCCCTAGAAGTAAGTCTAAATATGCCCCTGCGTTTTAGTGTATCCGCGTGGGATAATTTATGGGTACAGCAACAGCCAAAAGTAGTGGGAGGTTTCTTTTCCTTTTTCAAGTGCAACCTATGGGTAAATTTCGAGAATCACAGAGTAGATATTCACGTACTGTTTTACGCATTGCATCGCAGTATATCTCTGCTACCATGCACTTCCTTATCGCTTCCTTTTCCATCTCGCCCAAACACTTCTCCACGAACATTTCTATTGTTCCATCTTCAGCCGAGCCGCGGTCGCTCACAGTGTTTGCTTTTATATTTGCCATTAGCGTTTCACGCAGTTTCGCCAGGTAACCTGCCCTTACCATGTTACTGAGACCATAGTCCACGTTCTCGGGACTCATGTCTGCTGGTGTTGCCGG